GAATTTTGAGTTTTCATTTTTTATTGATAATTTTCTGGATCCCATTTTATTGTTATAAATTTATTATTGGTTTTCGTCGATATCTTGTATTATGAATTGATTGTTTATCTTTTGAAGCCACCATTTCACTCCGAATTCTGAAATTCTCAAAATTGCTTAAATGTCTGATGAATATTTTTTTTTAATTCCCTCCCCACCATTCCCCAGTGAATTTTTATTCTCGATTTTCTCCCGAATACTTTCTCTATAGCGACCCGTGCCCTTTCACACCCCCACACTCTGAATTAAACCGTGAAATAGCAATATGAAATTTGAATGCAGCACTGACCTTTACGATTATCATTGGACTCGCTCTCAGACTCGCTGTCGCAATACCTAGCGATTCCCCCATCGAAATCATGTCGCAGTTGCTTCAATTGTCGATCAGACTCTTGCAAAAGGCCTTGAAGAATATCAGGTTTAGGAGAAAGAAGATCCTTGCCCCTTTTGTCATCATCAAACGCCTCCGGAGGTGTAATCCGACCGAGTTGAGTCAGCCTGTGCCTTCCAGGAGGTGTTTGCAGTCCCACGGGCTCCAAAGGTCTCAATTTCTTGGTTTCGCAATTACTTGGTATTATTCTAGAATTCAATCCTGTCTCACTGTGATATTTAACATTATGAGTTTTGCTTCGCAGCCGTTCCAGGTCCCGCAGATTCGCCAGCATCGAGTTCATCGGAGCTCTGGAGCTGGAGATCACCTTCCTCTGGAGGTGATCGATTTTTTTGGTGGCGATGGGTTTGCTCACACTCTCACGTATTTCACTGATGTTTCGCAGTTTTGGGGGAGCCAGGGATATTTTATTAGAACTTTCGTGGCCTGGGGGACGCCAGCCCTTGGAAGGGACTTCCCCTCTGGTGCTACATCGGAGTGGCGTCATCCGCACTAATTTTGGAGCATCTCGAGGATCATCTGTCTGCAAGTGACCCCGGTAAACCATCTGGAAATTATTTCAATCATTTGAATCCTTAAACTTCCAATTAACACCCAGAGATTTAATTAATTATTATCATATCATAATTATCAGAAAAAAATGTATTGGAAAATCAATAGAATAAATAAATAAATTGATGTTAAATATAATATTCAATTCTTGGGTTTTTTTTATTGAGTTTCCAATTTTTTTATTGTATTCTTGGAACAAAATTAAATATTTTTCAGTATTTTGACAGTTTATCGAAATTTTTGGGAATTAATAAATAGAAAATTGCGGTTCTCATAAATTTTTAACTCAAATGTAGGTTTTTCTTTGTTTTTTCATTTCAAATCTCACCGGAAATTTCAGTGTAAAATAAACAGTGTACTGCACTTTACTCGACTACTTCAATAATCTTGAATTCATTACATAACGCCGAGAAAATTGTACTCTCGAGCGAATCGGTATACATAAATCCCTGTAGATCCGCGGATACTAAAATCGATGGTACCGTAATGATAAATCCGTACTTTCACTCCACGAAATCAAAATATCGAATGCGTATTTTCCCCTAAAACCTAATAACTTTCAAAATTACCAAATCATAATCGGTTGAATCATCCCCCAGAAAATTTCCAGAAGTCATTCCCCTAAAAAAATCACTGAGATAACATCCCCCGAAAATGAATATGCCAATAAATTAATCTGTCAACACAAATATTTAATCTCTCTCTTCCTCATCGTCAGCTTGAAAATGAAAATGGAAAAACTCCAC